CTACAGTTCAGTGCTACCAATAAACATAGATTCAAAGATCTTCAAGGTACTATCAAATAGAATTCAATAGTGTACTGAAAAGATGATGATGGTTACATTCTTGAGATGAAAATACTGTTAATCATATACTAATTTATCATATAAAAGACTGAAAATTAAAAATATGTGATAAAATATGCAGAAAAATAATTTAATAAAATTAGATATCGACTAGTGATAAAAATTCATGAAAAATTAGACATAGAAAGATCATATGTCAGAACATAATAAAGATTATACATGGCAAGTCTATAGCCAACACCAAATTGGAGATAAGAATGGATGGCATGGCCTATAGCATTAGCATCAACACCCACTGCTTTTATCCAATCTATTACTACAAGCATTAGACAAGGGATCAGTCAAGAGAAAGAAATAAAAGGCATAGACTTAGTAGGGAAAGAGATCAATATGCCACTGTTAGTAGATGATATGATTGTATACATAGTAAAAGCTAAGGATTTCATCACCACAGAAAAGTGAATTCAGTAAACAGCTACACAGCAATAATGAGTTTGCTGAAAAATAAATCATAAAGAAAATCCAGTTTAAAGGAGACATATACACACATGCAAAACAACATAGAAATAAACTTAACAAGGAAGTCAAAGACCTTTACAATGAAAATTATGTAACAATGAATAAACTTAAGACACTAGAAGGTAGAAAGGCCAACTATGTTCACGGACTAGAAGAATTAATATTGTTAAAATATCCATACTCCTCAAAATGATTTATGTATTGAATACAACATCCATCAAAATATAAATGATATTCCTTACATGACTAAGAAAACAATCCTAAAATTCATAAGGAATTCCAAAAGTTCCTGAATAAGTAAAGCAATCTTGAGTAAAAGGAACAAAGCTGGATGTATCATAGTATTTTCTTTTAAGACAGTACAAAACCATAGTAACAATAAAGCATTGTATTGGCCCACGAACAAGGCACATAGACTAATGAAATAGAATAGAAGACAAAGGACACATACAATGAGTTCTCAGTCTCCTGATTTTAGGCAAACATGCCAAAACTGCACACTGAAGAAGTGTTGGCCTCCTTTATAAATAGTCCTGGGGAAACTGTATATCTCTAGGAAAAAGATTAAATCTTGACACCTATCTATCACTTTGTACAAAAATCAATTTTAAATCAATCAAAAACTTTACATTCTATAACTACTAGAGAAAAGAATAGCTAAACAGTAAGATATTGGTGTATGCGATGATTTTATGTGTAAGTCTGCAAAAAACACAGGGAAATTTTTAAATATTTACAAAGACTATTATAACAAACAAAAAAATCCTTTTGTAGGATGAAACTTCTGCACTTCAGCAACAGATTTCTCCAATGGGAGAAAAATGTGTGCCATCTATATGAAAAAGGACTAACATCCAGAACATATAAACAATGGCAAACCGGAAATCCAATTCACACTGCATAGAAGATCTGAATAAACACTTTTCTGCAGAAGAAATAGAAATGGTTATTAATTTATGAAAAACTACTCAATATCATTAAGCATCAGAAGTCAAATCTATAGTATAGAGATACCATCTTACTCCAGTTAGAATGGCTATGAGTATTGGTAAAATACTGATAATAATAATAATAATAATAATAACAACAACAATATTAATAGTAAAACAAGCTAACAAAAGGAGTTGAAGGCATGAAGAAGAAATTCATGCACACTTTGGTGTAAATGTAAACTAGTACAGCCACTGTGGAAACTGCATAACTGAAAATAGAAATGTCATACAATCCAACTATGTCACTGTTGGATATATATCCAAAGGAAATAAAATCAATATACAAAAAAAGGTACCTACAATCCTGGGCTTATTGCAGCATTGTTCTCAATAGCCAGGATATAACCTAAAGGTCTATGAACAGATGAATGGATAAATAATTCATGAAGCAGATTGACAACAGATGTGATCCATACACAACATGTTTGAAAATTTAACTCTGAACCCTATTAATTTCCACAAATTAATGTGTGTCAATAAAAATTGAGTGTAGTTGGAAGTTTTCCTATGTCCCTCATGGTCCACAGTTACTCAGAGCCAAGTAAACACACAGAGGCTTATATTAATTCAAACTGCTTGGCCATTAGCTCAGGCTTACTACTGACTAGCTTTTACACGTAAACTCAGCCCATTTCTGTTCATCTATATGTCGCCATGTTTCCATGGCTTTACCTGTGTGCCATTACATGCTGCTCCCTGCACAGTGGGCTGGCATCTCCTGACTCAGCGTTCCTCTTCCCAGAATTCACCTTTTCTGATTATCCTGCCTATACTTTTTGCCTGGCCATTGGCCAATCAGTGTTTTATTAAACCAGTGTATAAAAGCATTATCCCATAGCAGTTGTGCTTGAAGAAATATTGGTGATGAAAGTGTTCTTTTACTTACAATGATGGCTGAACAATTTTGTAAGTCTATTACATTTTTATTATGCTTCCAATAGGAGGATAATATGATAGGCTAAACATGCTTTATTAAAATTGTTAACAAATGACAGATAAACATCAAGAACAAAAGAACATCAAAACTAATTAATCATTAGCTAAATTAACTAACTTTTAATTCATGGTTCAAACAAACAAAAACAAAGAAATAACACCCAAATGGAAGAGGGGATGTTACTAAGTACAAATACTATGAGTAATTTAATGACAGCAAGTTGGATAATAAGTAAGCAGAAACATGTTCAGAGGTAAAGTATAGCATTATCTGGCAACTTACTCATTAACAGTTATGTAAAACAACTGTATTTCAATGATTATTGGATATATATTATTTTCTTCTTTTCTCTCTTATTGAAAATGGATTCTTTTCTCATACAATGTCTCTTATGTTAGAGAAAAAGACATAATTTTATTCATTTTTTTATGTTTTCAGAACTTTCTTATTCTTTGGTAATTTCTTGCATGTATACATGGAATTAAAATCCTCTCCACTGCTCACATTCCCCTCCATCTCTTCTCATACCACACACCACCACATCTTCCTCCCAACTTCATATACTCTTTTCTTTTTAATCTACCAAACTCTAATTGGAAGCATGTAGGGCTATCCATTGGGAAAATGAGCCATACCTGTGAAGAAGACTGATTCTCCCTCTCTCAGAACTACCAACTGCCGATAACTCTTCAGTGGCAGGTAGGGCCTTCTGGACCCATCCTTTGTCCAATGTAGAATGCTGTGTGGCTTGATTTTGTGCAGGTCTTGTGCAGGCAACCATAACTGCTGTGAGTATATGAGCACAATGGCTCTGTCATGTCCCAAGGACAGTTTTACAGCATCCCCCATGACCTTTGGTTCTGGCTATCTTTCTGTTCCCTCTTCCATGATTTAAAGCTCACAGATGCCCACTTGGCAGCTGGGCACTCATTCTCTGTATTTTGCTCAGTTGTGAGTCTCTTTGTTAACTACAATGCTTTGAAAAAAAAAAAAAAGCTTCCCTAATGAGGTGGTGGGTGCTGCATAGATCTATGGTTACAACAATAAGTTTTTGGAAGGAGGTTTGATACTATATCGGTTTAGCAAAATAATGATACTTGGTTCATACCTAGGGCCTACGAGCTCTCCAGCCATGATTCTTAGTCATATGAGTTTCTTCCTGTGGAGCAAGCCTTAAGTCAATTGTGAACCTGTGAGTTGTTGGTTATCCCTTTAACATTCATGCAAAACAGCTGTTTTTAGTGAATTTGCCATCTCACTATGTATAACATTTTAAAAAGAAAGAAAAATAGAAAAATGTTTCCATCTCAGGCTACTATTCTTTGCAAGGCTCACTAATTAAAAAAAAAAAAAAAGAAAGAAAGACTGTCAAAGTTCAACCAGCAACCAACTGCCTCTAATCCCAGTAAAATTCATTAAAGCACAATTTCTAAGACTTGCACATGAAAGTCTGACCTTGAGGTCTAGGGTGGGGAAGAGCTTTAGAATCACCTTCTTTTGTGTGGCTATGGAATGGATGACTCAAATGAAGAGGAAGTCACTCTGGGTATAAAGAATAGAAGAACTGAAGTGCATGGAAAGTCACATTTTATACAAAAATTGATATTATTATATAAGATTTGGATGGGTTTAGAGTAGAAAGAAAGACTGCAGGAGAGATAACATGTTTAATTGTAATAAAATGGGTGAGCAGGAAACTGAAAGATGAATGTGAGAGCAGAAGGTTTTAACTGACAAGGGAATTAACCTCAAAGATGTTGAGAAAGTAAGAGATAGTAGAGAAATAGTAGTAAGAACATTACTGCTAGCTACAAATAGACTCGAGAGATCGTGTGTTTGACTGGCCTTATTCTCCCATTGTATTAACACTTCTGGGAGGCCATCACCATACTCAGAAATCAAAGGAAGGTCTTTGTTGTCTGGTCTGTCAAGAAATTTAAGATGTAAACAAATAATGTTCTTTAATTTTTCTTTGATCCATAAAGGAGAATAACAGGGGACAATGGCCAAGCAATTGGGTTGTCATGATTTTTTTCTTCACATAGGGTATTTAGAGCCATAGATCCACACTGTCATCTGTTGCAAGTTGTGTGATAAGTTAATTATGCATGCCCTGTTTTGTTGAAAGAATAATATAAGGGCATCTTTCTTTAATACAAAATGTTTATGTTTAGCATTTACACACATACACATGCACTTAGCTATGCATGTGTTATATAAGTGCATATATCTATATATATGCAGAAATGTGTGTGAGTGTGTGTGTTCAGTCCACTTACAGATGAGGCTATTTTTCAAATTATAAAATCAAACAGGATATGTTCTACTAGAATAGGTTTCACCACTACTGAGAGATTATACAGTGGAGAGAACAACTATAATGCTAAGAGCAAGTAAAACTGAAATACACAGCTGACAAGTTGAGGAATTTTGGATGAGCCATTTAGCCATGTAGTTGTTAGCTCCCATTTAGAATTGAAGAGGCTTAACAGTTGATAATTCACATTATTTTTATTTTATTTAACTGTAACTATTTAAAACATAATCCAACATATGAAACAATCTATCAATTTATTCCTTCAGTGATATAATATTAAACACAAAGAATTATATTTAGAACATAGATTCATATATTGAGCTCTCTTAATTTTCTGGATTACTTTATAATTGTCTATTTGTTAACTTTAAATTAACTTTCCTTAATATGCACAGTACAATGAAGAGTATAAAAAGTGATTCTAGAAAAATATAGCCCAATTTTTATCCTAATTTAATTTCCTCCTGTGGGTAAGCTTATTTCACTGTATCTTTTCACACATCAACCTTTTCAACACTTAAAAAAATCTTAGCATATTAACTGAAATATTCTCTAAGGCCTTTGGATTCCACAAAATTTTTATTGTTATTATACTTTAATTATTTACCACCAAAATGTGAGGTCTTTATTATTTATTAATACCTCAAGTCATAACAAGATGCTACACTTTTATTTATCATTTTTTCTTATACTATTAATTCTGTGGAAAGCTATTTCCCATAGCTTTGTCTGTGAAGATTCTTGTTCAGTTTTAACAGTCCCCTGATGCACACACACTGTCATTGTATACATATTCTATTGAGAAGAAACAGAAATGGCTTGACATTCATGTTTTTTTCCCCCATAGATCAAATAGGGCACAAGAATCCAGCAGCTTTGGAAAAAGCCAAGCTTCTTTCGCTTTAATGCACCCAGAAGATTTCAGATCAATACTTAGCATTAACGTTTTAATTGAGAATTAACATCATCGTAATTGGAAGTGAGGATCAGCATCCTGATGTCTACAAGGTGGTTTGGAGAAGAAGGTTATTATTACACTGCAAGCGCAAACATTGGAACAGGAAGATACAAATCATTTGTTTCCTTGGGCAAGGACACACAGTAAACACTTGGATTGGTGGTCAACTGTAATTTGCTTCTAGAGTCAGAAACTGGCAACATTGCACTTAGGATTTATAGCAGAGCACACTGTCCCAGTGACTTTGAAAGCAAAGGATAACAGAATAAAGGGAAACTTCATTAGTTCTGAAAGAGCTGGGGTATATGGACTTTTCCCCCAAAGCACAGAATGTACTGCTGCCTCTTCCCAGCATAACCCTCCAGCCAGTTGTTGCCCTCAGCATGTTATATTCCTAAATAAACCCCCTCTGCAAAAGTCAAACACATTTTAGTCTAGGCTTAGTCTAGTCTAAGCCGTATTTTATTATTTCCCTCAAAATTTCAAGTCAATGTATTCCTAGCCTGAATAATATAGACATTTCTTTCTCATTTTGATGGAATGAATGTTCTAAAAATTACGTTGTTATTTATTTGCTTCCAGTATATATACTGGAAATATTCAAGAACTTCTCCAAATTCCCTAGAACACAGGAAAACGCCTCCTTCCATTATCCACCCTGTCTTCCAGTACCAGCCTAAGGCCCACCACCACCTCTTCCACTTTCAGGGAATGAATGTGCTTTTCAGATTTAGCTCCTTGGTGGAGTAAAGAGAATTTATGGGAAGGGCAACTTCTGTAGGAACCATCATGGCAGAAATCTCTTTTTCCCCCGTTTATTGGCATTGAAAGTCTGCACAAGATGCGCCCATTGGGTTGTTTCCCTAGGTGTCCCCTGAGCCAAGAGAGGACCCAGCCAGTGAGGCACCCTCAGCTCGGCCCCGCAGACCACAGTCCCCAACCTTTACCCCATTGTCAGTACAATGTGTAGAATTGGGGCTCAAAGCAGCGGCCTCAGCATTGCTGTCCACACCCCGTGAGTCCAAAGCTTCCTTCCTTGTCCTGGAGGAAGGGCTCTTGTGGAAGCAGAGTTTGAAAAGTCCCAGCACTGTCATGGTCAAGATCACCAACACTATTACTGCTATGCTCACAAGTATGAAGACCACGGTGGAGGAGTCAAAAGTCGGGGAAACAGAGGGGGAAGATGTGTAGTTCAATGTGGGGATCGTGCTTCCTGATGGTGTGACGGTGACTTTTGGCTTGACTTGTGGGGATTTTTGAACAGTAGGTAAGGTACTCTGTGTTCCCCACTGAAGAATCTCAGGAATAGACGTGGCAAAACTGTCTTGTCCAGTGATCTGGGGCTTCTCTCCTAGCTTGCCTGGCAACGTTCTGTTTGTCACTGGGCTGGCTGGAGTGACTGATACGTGCCTGGTGGGCAGCTCGGTCCCAGCAATGGTTGGCTGTCCTTCCCGTTTGGCCTCACAAGAGCGTCTGTCCTTCCCCAGCTCAAAGCCTGCAGCACATTCGCAGGCGAAGCCTCCCAAGTGGTCTAGGCAGTCAGGGAGCTCCACGCACTTGCCAGCACGAAGGTACCTCCCAGAGCAAGGGCAGAGCACGGCCCCAGGGAAAAGCCCGTCCCAACGCGCGCTTGTCTCTTCCTGGATGCAGGTGGCGGAGACAGAGAGGTCCCCGGGACATATCACACTCACCTCAGTCCCAGGAGGGCTGAAGTCCAGCGCGGAGCTGCTCAGCCGGAAAGGCGCTCGGAAACTCAAGTTAGAGGCAGCTCCGGGACGCGGCATGGGGCACAGGGCCTCAAACTGATACTTGCATAAGTAGCCATTGGCGCGCAGGTGACAGCGCATCTCCTTCCAGCCTGCAGGCTCCACTCCCTCGGTGACCTGGAGCCCCGCGCACTTTCGCACGGTGCAGGAAAGTTGTGGTTCCTCCACCCACGGCAGTGTGTCGTCCTCCGAGTCATCTGTGTCCGGGGACAGCCAGGAGAAACCCCTTAGTGGCTCTCTCTCTAGCGTACACTGGGAACGGCCACGCTCCAGAGCCACCCAGAACAGAAGGTCCTTGGAGCCTCCGCCAGGCCCGGGACCCGCACGCAGGAGAGCCAGCACTGCTCGCAGCTCGGAGCCCGAGTGCACGGTGCTGAGAGTCCCGCCGCGCAGGCTGCAGGCCTCCTCGGCTGCCCGCCTCTTGATGGTAGCGTGGTGCAAGCTGTAGCAAGCCCCCGAGGCTGAACAGGCAGCGCGATCTGCGGTGGGGTGCTCACTACTCCCTGGCCTGGGCCAGAACGCAGGACAGAGGAGGCACAGGGCAAGCGCTGGCCTCATCCTGGAGACTCTGGGTGCACAACTGCTCCCAAGTCCCTGGCTTGTCCAAGGGAACCAATCTGCCTCTGCAGTCACCGCCCTCTACAGCCCTTTCTACCATCATGTGTGCCCTCCCCTCCCCTCTCCTGAACCCTCATCCTCCAGCAGCCAAAAGTCCCCACCAGACTCACTTGGCCAACTGCTTCCCCTAGGCCGTGACAGGAAACGTGTCCAGAGCTCTGCCAGGCTCCCTGTGGCCCTGATTTATTCAGGGGTCAGGAACACAGCTGGCGTCTCAGCGCTGGAAACACACTGGGCCAGCCGAGTCCAATGCCCCACGTAGATAAGCAGGAGAAAAGAAAAGTTGCCACTGAGATGAAGTGAGTCTCTTTCCTTGCTCACGACTTATCTGGACTTTGGATCTCAGAATGCAGTGATGATCGTGGGCAGGAAGGACCCGAGCAGAGGAACTTGCCTGTGACCATAAGCCCACATCCCCCCATTGTGTTTGTGTCCGGGACTGTGGAGTTGGCGTCAGTATGATTTGTAGACTGTTCCAGGCTTGGGGAGGTTTCCTGAGCAAGGAAAGGAATCTTGTGAGAATTGTTCTTGTGTCTTTCTAAGCCTGAAGTCTCGCTGTTAAACCACTGATTTCCAGGGGCTCTCTTTTTTTTTTCTTTACTATGTCAAAGGAAATCCAGTCATGCTAGCTGCCAGTCAGAGAATCTAAAATTCCTTTGGGATTTTCCATGGGAAACCGCTCCTCTAGTCAGCACTTGGCCTTAAAAGTTTACTTTTTACTTCTACTTGTTCATCTTTAAAATACCTATGTTCCTTGAAGGGGGTGGGATGAGATCTACACCAAGGTGACAAATAGCCACAGGTCCTAACTATTAGCTTGTTAAGCTTCCTCATCACTACATGGGTGCAAAAATTCTTCAAGCTAATAGGTTATACACAAATGAGTTCACGTCTTATTAAGGCCAAGAACAACTGTGTGTGATTTTCTCCTTGAACTATGTAAATATCTTTGCTCCCATAATTGTCTGCCGGTATTTATAGCAGAAAGTATAAAAGGAACATAAAAGTTCAAAACACCTTTTTTCTTGAAAATTAAACTATTTATTCTGTTACATTACACACTCTACACTGGAAAATAATACTCTGTAATCTGAGAGATGATGGAATCAGCCACTCCAGGTTCCATTGGCTGTTGTGTTCTCCTGTGTTCAACCAGTTCAGCTGAAGTGGGGCAGAGCTGAAGAGAAAAGTTTGAAAGGAAGGTTAAAGTCAGCATTATGGATGCTCTTTAATGTTTGTGTAGCAACTTAGAGAATTTTATAGAGTCTTATAAAGTGTGTCTTTTATCTGTCTTGACTCACAGTGGCAAATATCATGTATTTAGAAACAGATAGACTTTCAGCTTAAACCCTTTAAAGGTGCACCACACTTCTACATTGTCTATAGTCAGAGTGAAAGTTGCCATCTCTGTTGCATCCAGATGCACTTTTTGATGCATCTCTAATGCATCCTGAAGACGGCTTTGCTGGATGGAGCTGTTGAGGTTAGCAAGATGCAAGGAGATGTCAAGGTAGCATCTGTGTGCTCCCCTCTCGTTTTTTGTCATTGCTGTCACTCTTCTGAGAAGTCCACATATCCTAAGAGGAGACAGTGACAGGAGGAATCCTCACCAAACTAGCCTGACAAGTTTTACACAGGCTTTTCTCCTACTCTTCTGTTTCTCACATTAAAAGGACATTCCTTTGTTCTTCCTTTCTAATGCCTGAGACATACAAACACGACTTTGCATTTATATTAAGTAACAGTGTTTTATAAGAAAGAAATTTGAAAAAATCTGAAAATCAAATTCAGTGAATTTCTACAATGCATAATCTCTTAGATCAGTTCTGTATGTTTTTGGAATCTCATGACGGTGCCCATGTACTGTGGTGTATTTTGACAAAATCTTTTTCAGAGTTAAGTAGTCAATGGAAGTTCTTAGATATTTCAAAAGTCACTTGGCGTGAGAACTGTTCTAGAGTAAGCAAGAGTGGATAACTGGGAGCTTTATAAATGCGTGCTCTTACTTTCTGGCATTCTGTGTAGTGGGATATTGAAAGAGAGGAACAAACTGGCCAAGATGATTGTATATCATAGCTCTGGCCGTGCTTGAAAGCATGTGAAAGAATTAGAGGGAAAAATCACCCCAAAGGAAGACTTGTCTAATTTTTAATTAACTACTTATTATCTTACACACAACTAACATGATTCAAAATATATAATAAACCTGAAATAATAGATAGAAAGAAGGCTTTTATTTTTAGCCATATGATAACTACATATCATTGTACCCACACCAAATTTCAAATACTTTACAAGAGTAAATTGCATTCCTCTGTGTATGTGTACATCGCTATAGTGTGTGTGTGTGTGTGTGTGTGTTTGTCTGTCTATGTCTGTGTGTCTGTGTTTGTGTGCACATATGTGTAGTCAAGAGGAATTCCTGCACACATAACAGAATATTTGGAAAAGATGTTTATTGTGGTATTGTTCATATCAACAAAAATCAGAATCCATCAAAATGCCCAGAAGCAGATGATAAGTAGATTGCAGTATATTCATTCAATAAATATGGTGTATTTTATCTTCAAATTTATGGAATGTTATGACTTAATCTTAGCAACACAATGTTAAGTGATAAAAAGTACAAAATATTATACATAGATAACTTTTTATAGCTTCAAAGGTACGGAGTGTATGTTTTAAATATACATAAACTTTTTAGGAAAATAGTTACAGTTCAACAAGACAAAAGGAAGAAGATCAGACAACTATAGTATGCTGGGCAATTGATCCATTGGTTGGAAGTAAGAGGATAGATCAGCCAAAGAGCCTGGTGTTTTAACAGGGTGTATTATTAGTCTTTTTTTTTTTCATTTTTTTCTTAAGAAATTTTCTATTCACTTTACATACCAACCACAGATCCCTCCTCTTACCTCTTCCCACCCCCTAGTCTTCCCACCAACCCACCCCCCAACCCCACATTTTCCAAATCAAGGTCTCCCATGGGGAATCAGCAGAGCCCAGCACACTCAGCTGAGGCAGGTCCAAGCCCCTTCCCCCTGCACCAAAAAGCCCACCCATACAGCAGGGACAGATCTTGATCCCCTTGCCTGGGGGCCCCCCAAACAGTTCGAGCTAACCAACTATCTCCCATATCCAGAGGGCCTAGTCTAGTCTTATGGGGGCTCCATATTATTAGAGTCTTAATTGTTGTTTTAGATAGTGGCTTTGTGGATGACCACTTGGTTCTTTTTTTTTTTTTTTGGTTTTTCAAGGCAGGGTTTCTCTGGGTAGCTTTGTGCCTTTCCTGGAGCTCGCTTTGGAGACCAGGCTGGCCTCGAACTCACAGAGATCCGCCTGCCTCCGCCTCCCGAGTGCTGGGATTAAAGGCGTGCGCCACCACCGCCCGGCGACCACTTGGTTCTTAAAACTAAGCAATGACCAACTAAACAAAAGTGGCTGTATTTGAGCAAGTTATGGAAGAAGGACATGATCAAGAGTGTCAGAGTCTCAAATTATAAAGATAAAATAAAATTGTTGGCTATGTCTTCAAAAAATATTTTCAACATATTGTCTTTTAACTCTATAGTTTACAGCTCTTCAAAATTGAATCTGAAAGGCATAATTAAAATATTTTCTTTCTTCTATTTATTATCTTTAATTATTAAGAAAAAATTAAGTTTTTAATTTATTCTTTCATATATTACATCTCAACTGCAGATTCCTCTCCCCCTCCCTCAAAGTCCCCC